TTAAAAACAGAGTTGAAATTCTGTCATTGCTAATGTAGGCAGTCCTTGTTAACATAAAGATAAAACAATACACCTTTATATTAATTTAAAATAATGATCCAGATCCTTTAAAGTGGTCATAAAAATACTGCACAGCTGAATGAATAAGGAACTTTGTGGGTCATATATTTGAAGGTATCAGTCTTTGGAGCCAGTTACAGGAATCTCACTTTGTGACCTTGGGAGTTACTTAACTTCTGAGTCATTGTTTCCTCTGTGAATGGTAAGTAGCAGAAGCTACTTCCAGGGCTGTTACGAAGACAGGTGAATTAAGAAATGTAAAGTGCTCATAGGTCCATTGACCTCACAGTGAGTTTAATTTTTTTAATAATAATTTTTAAAGCAGCCATTGCAATATCTAAATATGTGAAATCCTCACTAAAATCTTTTGCATGGGGATTTAAAAGGAGAGTCTCTTCTCTTTAACGTTCCAAACTCATCTTTTTCTCACTTCTTCTAACATCAAGGGCAGTCTTGAGAAAAATAAACTACAGAAGGGCAAATTGAGGTGGAAATAGAAAAAGAGGCCCAGATGCTACTTTGGCTTACTGAGGAGAGATCGGAATATATTTTAAAGAGATTTTCTTTTCTTTTCTTTTCTTTTTTTTACCTCCACTAATAAAGCCACCTCTTTCTTTCCTTTCCACCATCTGCCTGAGTCACCACCAGACATACAAACTCCTTGGTGAAATGTTGGAGGGTGCTCAGGTCTTTTGAGACCCATCAGATAAGAGAGAGACTGAGAAGTCAAGTATACATGTTGGTTTAGTATTACCAAAGGAAAAGCACTGCAAAAAAAAAAAAAAAGAAAAAGAAAGAAAGAAAGAAAGAAGAAAGAAAGAAAAAATCAAAAGGAATGACCTGCATTTTTCCACTCAATAAACTGATCTTTCTTAATCAAATAATTTTTCCCCCTAGAAATGGAACCAAGATGGATTTCCATAAAAACTTTGGCCACATTGAGAAATTATTTAGTGTTACCATAAGATTTGTAACTGCTTTGCTAGTTTCCAGAAAACATCACTTTTATAGTACACTATTCAGCTTTAGAGATGTGTAAAAAATCAAGTGAAAAGCTCTCATGACCTTCCTCATAATTATGGTAGTTGAAAATTGCATGACATCAGTTTTTCTATTTGTTCCTTATTGGGGCAATAAGAGCATAAGAGTTGCCATTGGATGAAGGGCTCTGCCTTACTGTTCCGGTCTTGTTTGGGTTAACCTGTCAATCTAAAGAAAAAAAACTTTACCAGCTTCACCCTGTTGGTAAAGAGAACAAAAGAACAGCCAGCATGAATCTGAAGGAGTCCTTACGACAAGAGCAAAAGCTCAGTGACTGTGGGATTGGTGTGGCAATGGGGGAGGGGGGCGGGGGAGAGGGTACAAATGGGGGGGGCCTCTAAGGTCCCTTCAATCCTTGAGATTCTATATCCACTGTGGAATTGTGAGGAACAGAGGTATGCTTCTGCTGATTGTCAAACTATACCTGGAGTCCTCACCAAATGCGCCCCATCTCCTGTAACTTCCCATGTGATGAAAGAGGAGGCATTAGGCTCTGGGAAGTGAACAAGGGACAGCCTAAGGATCTGTTCCTTTAAAAATTACATTGATTAATTTCAACTTTGCTACCTTTGCTGGGGGGAGAAGCGAAAGGTGAGCATTAGCAATCCCTTCTGATTTTTACCTCTCTTGATTCAAAGGGCTTATTCATAAGGATTGACTTTATCCTGCCTCTTTAAATGGACTGAAATGGGGCGCCTGGGTGGCTCAGTTGGTTAAGTGACTGCCTTCGGCTCAGGTCATGATCCTGGAGTCCCGGGATCGAGTCCCACATCGGGCTCCCTGCTCAGCGGGGAGTCTGCTTCTCCCTCTGACCCTCTTCCCTCTCGTGCTCTCTATCTCTCTCATTCTCTCTCTCTCTCAAATAAATAAATAAAATCTTAAAAAAAATAAATAAATAAATAAATGGACTGAAATGCCCTTTAATAAGCAAGCTTCCTATTAATCATTTTACTATGCAAGAGCACCAAAATCAATTTATAATTTAATGGCTCCTCCTGTCAGGGACACTACTGATGGTATTATTAATGATTTTGAAATATGCCATTATGCAAAGTCCATCTATTTTAGGTGTCTTGGCCAGGCGCTTACAGAAGTGCTGGTTTCTTTTTCTTCTTCTTTGATTTTCCAGTGTCACAGTTATCAAATACTGAAACATTTTCTAAGGATTATTATCCTAGTAAATAGTGATAATCTAAAGATCAACTTTCAGTGCTTATTTTTTTATGCAAACAAATTGTGTGGGGCTTCATATATCTCACACTCATCAGCTACTCAGAGTATAGAAAATAAAGCTGTTAGGACAATAGAGGATTAAATTTGCCAGGAATAAGAAACAATGTTATTTGGTTGCTTCTATTTATTTCTGAATGAGTTGTCATGTTGCTCTTTGGGAATAAAACTGGAAGCTTTTTCTAAACAAAGGCACCCTATTAGCCAGGCTACCCCAACCATCTCTACTGTACTCTATTTCTGCAATCTAATAAAACATGTGATGTGGTGTAGGATGGGTTGGGAGCACAAGATGGAGAAAGAGAAGTCAAATGTTTTTAGGTAATATAAGCAAGAACATTGCAACATGCCATCCACCTTAGTGTACCCTATCATGAAGTGATAACAAATAATGGGCCGTGAGCTCCAAAAGATGGTAGCATGGCCCTTCTAATGCCCATTAACACTTTTCCACACTTGGTCTTATGGCTGATTGCTTTAGTAGAGCTGAACAACTGTAGTTTATGATTATAAGGCATGAAGATAGAAATCCAAAATGCATAAGTTTGATGACAAAAAGGGTAAACTTTTGGCAGGTTTTTGTAGAATAAATTTGATTTCACTTATAACATCAAATCCAGTTCTGAAGTAAAGAGCACATGTATCGTCACTTCTTACATCTTCTTGTGCTTTCTCTAATAATTTGTAACTTTTGGAGATTGAGGAATGATCAGATATCCTAGTGTAGTCAGGGTAGACTGATTTTATATATATTTATACACACACCCACATACACACACACACACACACACACACTAAGTAAATAGGTCAGTTCCAGAGAATAGTTTCAGAAGTTAGACAGGAACTGTTCACTACATACATGTAGTTGGACTTTGTCACACCGTTGGAAGTTTGTAAATATCTAACTACTCTGAAAAAATGATTATTGCTTTAGTCATTTATAGCTGCTCATCTGGCCTTTGTATTTCAGTCTTTGAGGACACAGCTGAGGTAGGAAAGAAAAGGCACTGTCATGAGCCCGACTCCTTAGTAATGAGAAATTGGATATGAGCATCATGCGGGGATTTTCGTAAGCTGAGGAGCAGAGAGCTGGTTATGGGGCTCCGGAGGACCAGAAGCAATCATTTGATCTCACTTCTACAGTGTTAACCCAAGAAAGCAAGGCTAAAGCATTTAGCATTAGGGCCTAGGGAATTCAGAGAATTAAAAGCAACTTCTACCTTTCTTCTCCTTTATACTAGGAAAGAAGACTGATGCTCTTTGGCATATATAGGTATAAATAAAACTTGGTGGCTTTGATCAATAATTTAAAAAGGGGGGGGCACCTAGGTGGCTCAGTGAGTTAAGTGTCCAACTCTGGATTTTGGCTCAGGTCATGATCTCAGGGTGGAGCCCACTTAGATCCTCTCTCCCTCCCCCTCAACCCCTTCCCACCCCACTCTCCCTGTCTTTAAAAAAAAAAGGGGGGGGTTACAAACTAATTTCCTTCCAGAAGACCTAGAAAATTCCACCGAAACTAAATAGTGTCAATGACTAAAACTATGTGTCTGTGTAAACTCAGTGTTTCAAAAACTATAGTCAGAAATGTTCTTGGCCAGTGTTACTGGAAAAAAATTTTTTTTCAAGGACAAACAAGTGTTTAGGGGGCTCTGAGTAAGTGGTAATATAGGAATTGATTAAGCCCTTATGAATTAGAAGGTAACATTAGATATATCTTCAGAGTCATCAGGCTTATGGGAAACTGAGATTTGCATAATATTTGCATTTGTCCTACAGTCTGCCATTTCACTCACAACCAGAGGACCCTAAGGCTAGAAGTGCTAATGGATGGATTACGGGAAAAATTCTTAACTAAATGCCTTGGTGTATGGGTGGGGTTTGAAAGTGGTGTAAATAGTATATTTTGTCAAAGTTGAAACTCAGCTTTGGAGGGATGAAAATCACTATAGCATCATGACTCCCCATCCCCCACCTTTCAAAATAGCTACTGGGAGGTCTCAGCTTCCATGTTTAGAAAGACATATAAAACATGAACATTTTCCCTTTGTGATCTAGGTGGAAAATCTGACTAGCCTGAATGAGAGTTCGATTCTAGGACATTGGGTGGGTAAGAGTAAGGAGTTTGATTTTATTTTGTGTGGTCTTATACATTTATTACAAAAATATTATGTTTGGAAATACAGTAAAGCAGAATGAAGGCCAAGAAAAATGACCCATAAGCCTATCGCTCACAGATAACCTCTTTTGATATTTTGATGTGATTTACTGATTTGTTCTAAATGAGTAAATTCCAGGGCATGGTTCAGACAATCCTACGGTTAAGGCATTTATTAAATAAATATATTTTTCTTTTCTTATTATTGTGATCTGTGTTCTTCTGCTTTTCCTTCTCATGGTGATGATAAACCTACGAGTCCTGAGTGCTCTATGTTGCCTAAAATCATTCCATGGCCTTGGGCAGGGGAGCTGTGCTTTGGGCGACCTCTCCAATCTTCCGGACCTATCCCATACCCCTCCTGGAAGAAGACAGTCACAGTACAGAAGTTTCTCAGTGGCCATTTGTCTGGAAGTGCAACTCGTTAACCTTGCTTTCGTCTTCTCTATGTTCCTTCTCTTCTCTTTCGTTCCTTTTCCCCTTGTTCGTCAATTTCTATTCTTCTCTGTTTCAGCAAAACAATATCAGTCAAGGTAATTGATGATGAGGAGTATGAGAAAAACAAGACCTTCTTCCTTGAGATTGGAGAGCCCCGCCTGGTGGAGATGAGTGAGAAGAAAGGTGGGGGAGCTGCTCCAGGGCTGAGCCCAACAGCTTCTGCTGGCCTGTGCCACCCCTGGATGCCTGCACTCTTCAGACGTGGCTCACAACACACACATCCCTCCACCTATGTAACAGGGCATAGATCACACCCCGGGGCCACAGCGGGCCCAGCCTGTAGCTCCATCGGCCACTTCTGGCCACTCTGCACATGGCAGGTCCGAGAGACGAATTTTCAGGGCAGTCAATCCTGCCTGTTTCCGGGAAGGGTGGTACTGATGCTGGCCATGCCAAAATGAAGCCCACGTTCTGATTTCTCTTCCTAAGTCGGGGTACTTCCTGCTAGCTCACTGAAGCAGGAAGCATTTGTGAAAGTGGCAAACGAGGAGACAAGGTCACGGGGGCCCGCTGAGAGTAGCTGCCATGCCCTATTACATACTTGCGAGGTCCATGTGTTGCCAGTTCTCCCTTCCATAACATCACGGTAACATGCAGCTTGGTGAACACCTAGCATGAGCGTGTGACTCCAACCATTTGTTTTGCCTTTGTCTTGTGTTCCCACAGGAAGATCATTACCATTAGAATATTTGACCGTGAGGAATATGAGAAAGAGTGCAGTTTCTCCCTTGTGCTTGAGGAACCAAAATGGATAAGAAGAGGAATGAAAGGTGTGAGAGTATACAAAGACATACCAGCGAGAAATTGTACTCTTCTCTCTCCGTGTCTCCTACTCTCACACTTAACTCTCTCCTCTTCCTCGGCTCCAAGTACTATCCTTCATTTCCTTTGAAGCTTTAACAGTTTCATCTCCCTTCCCTAATTCACAAACGCACCAAACAATGCCCATTTTCCTCAAGGAAATGCCCACTAACTTTGATTGAAAGCAGATTGAAGAAATACTAGAAGAGATTTCTGTAATTCAGAAGTGATGATCTAAAAAGCATGATTTCTGTGTTCAGGTATTTACTACTCAGGGATCGTTCTAAAATGTCCTTCCAACTACTAAATCTCCCCTTGAACGTTCGTGATAAAGACTACCTAATACCTATTAGTAGTGACAGATGAGTCTAATGGCAACTAATGAGTACTTTCAGAAGAATTCAATAATTAGGCTTCTTTAGACAACCCCATTTTCAAAAAATATATATTTAATAAGAACAAAGATCCTTGAAGAGTAGTGTTATCCACATTCTAGCGTTCATTTTGGCCTGAGATTTTTTTTATATCATCAAATATGACATTTAAAAGGGACCGGATCTAGGAAACTATAGTCATACAAATTTTCTTTAGTAGGAAGGATATGGTCCTTTAGGAAGAATTTAGCCCTCGCTTAAGGCCTAACCAGCCTTATGCTCTGAAATGTTTTGATCCTTATAGAATCTACAAATTTCTAATATGTGTAGTAAAAAAAGAAAAGAAATAAACAGCAGTATCCTCATAACTAGATTTTTTTTAGTTGATTTGTACTTACATAGTTTTAGGAAAATATTTGAACAAAGAAGCCAATTTCTTTGTCCTCTTTGATTTTATTTCTATTTTCTGCCACCTATTTTTGATAAGGAAGGACAGGAATTTTATACCACCCTTAAAAATAATTTTTTATTCTGAATTTTTACAAGGGCTTCCTACGATTATCCTCTAACAGTGGCCACTTTAAAGGGATTATGTAATTATACATGTAAAATGAGCTTACTACACATTAATAGCTCTTACTCATTGCAACCAAACAATTGATGACTAGCATAGAAGATGATTAGATGGACCCCTTTGTAAGAACTTTATACTTTTACATGTAAGGAAAAATATCAAATGTATAGGACTAATTCCTATATAGACCCAACATTTGGGGGAATTTAATCTCACATTTGTAAGAACTCACTGACTTCAGAGTCCATCAGAAAAAGAAAAAAAAAAAAAGTGTATGTCCCTGACCTAATCATGTCCCAAATGGTAACGGGAGCCGTTTGGAATGTTGGAGAATGGAGCACTGGGGACCCATTTTAATGCAGCCTATTTAATATGTTTCGTAGGCAGTAGGCAGAAGGAAAAGACACTAGAAAACTGAGCTGATTTCTTACAAAGATGGGATCAAAAATGCCTCATTAGCATACAGGAAAAAAGCACTTACTTCTAAATGTATTCCTCCAAAACACTGTCTTTTATCTAAAGGAAGAGCATCTTGGATACAGCTCTTTCAATTGTCGTTTTAGTAAAATATGCCCTCATGTAAAGGCAAATTAAAATTCCTTGATAGCACTATCCGGTTTCACACCCTCCAAGTGGATTCTTGTCACTATAAATAAAATTACTGACTTGTTTTAGAAAGTATCCTCTAATGCCACTAACCGTTAGCAACAAAATGGGGCTGAAAACAGAATTGTAGCATTCCCCACCACAGCTCCTGAAGAAATTTATATAATATGTTTAGCTAGGGAGCTTTCACCAAAATAAATTGCTACTGTATAGTCTGGGTTTAAAGCACATAACCTGGAAGACAAATTATGGATGCGATGCCCCCTTCCCACCACCTGCCTTGTCAGTTTCCATGGAATTATGTGTCCACAAGAAATGAATTGTGATTGTCTAATTATAACATGCAGAAGTCATAGAGAAGGACACACAAACAAATGCAAATTCCTGGCACCCAAGTTTTGAGGATTTAAAAAACATAAGCATCCCTTGATGGCCAAGGAATACCATGCAAATAGAACCTCCAGGGAGAGCATTACCCTGGACCAAAGTCTCCTTCAGGCAGGGCAGCCAAAATGGAATTTCCTAAGATGTTTTATCTGTTTTCATTGAACGGAAGGTGTCACACCTGAGATCCTGGATGATTTAAGACTTCCGTGTGTTGAATTCAGTAACTCCTGGGCAATATTTAATGAGGAAGACTCACTCAAATGAAGTTAAGATTAACTTCATAAAACATTTCTATTCAATTTGGTAAACTAGATACATTTACTGTATGTAAACATATATAGTAGAAATGTTTTATTAAATGCCAAGAAATAACAGATAAGGGAATTGTATCAATATATAATAAGTCACACACATTTGCAAAAACTTAGTGTTAGGATTGTTTATTGAAAACTGTTCCCAATGCCACAGTTCCCTGGGAGGCACCCACGTTAGCAGTGTCTTCCTACCACTGGAATCAGATCTGCCTGGATTTCTTTCTGCTGATATTCCTCTTACTTTCATTATTCATCTGGTCTCTTATTCTGTGTTGTCTTTGTCTGTTTCCTCCACAGCCCTGTTATTGAATGAGCTTGGTAAGCATTTCATTTCTTCCATTTCCTTTCCATTTCTCTAGGTGATTTTCCGTGAATGTCAGGTGGTACAGTAGTTTTCGGACCTTTATTTCTATTGATTTACTGGCAGGATTGTCGTGTAGGGCCATTGGCCTCATTTTTGTGTAGGTTAGATAGTTAATATTCCATTTTTAGTTTAGTATGATCTTTTTAAAAACCAGTGATTGCTTAGGTCCGCACAAGAATGAAATGTGTGCACTAAGTCCCATAATCTTAAAAGAATGAGTAGTGATTAAATCACGAATGGATGTTATCTGATTTTCCTTAATTGTAAATGTAATTTGGCAAGTTGCTGTATCTTAGATGGGTGGCCAGGCAGTCCGATGTCACTGGTATTTGTCATTTAGAATGTAAGTTAAATAAATTGTAACATTTCTTCTTTTTTTTTTTCTTTTTTTAGGTGGCTTCACAATAACAGGTATGAATTTTTAAAGCTAATGACGTCAAATTTTATTTTTTTGCTTTCTGTCTTCGCCATATGTTGTTTACATTTTTAAAAATCTCTTCTCATTTTTATTTGCTTTGAATGAAGGAAAATACATGTATGGTAAGACAGATTTTTTTTTTAATGTTCTTCATTTTCCCCCAAATGCCCTTAAAAATCAAAACCACATTTTATGCAACCTGTGTTAACATTTAGCTGTGGCACACAGTGTGCTCTTGCTGATTTTACACACTTAACATTGTACACATTAACAGTGTGTGTGTTGTGTTTATGTACAAGCAAATCTGTATGGAGAACCTGTAACCGTTCACATTTTGATACTGGTCGATTTGAAAATGTTCACGTAGCACTGATGATGTGCAGTGTATTCTGCTAGATGCTCCAGGGTACCAGATTAGATAAGACAATCGCTGGCCTCAAGGAAACATAGGAATTGACATCCAACAAAGCTCGGTCTCCTACTACTATATGATGCCCTGATAGCAGAGGGCAGAGCAGTCCCTTCTCCTCATTCCACGACATCAGTCTGAGCCCCTCTTTGGGGACTTGGGTTTGAGGATTATTAACATGATCCCTAGAAGTGCATTACACAGTGCTCTATGCAAACCCAAAATGCCACTCAAAGGGTTTAAAACTCTTAAATTCATGTTGGCATCCATCCTGCGTTGATCACATTACTTAACACAACTCTAAAGCTATTTTCTTGTGTACAGAAGGAAGAAGGTGTCTCCTTACGGTATCTTCCTTTTGACTCTATGTTTATTCACACCCTTTGAGAATCATCTAGGCAGATTTAGAGAGAGAGAGAAATATCAAATGGTCGGCATGATGTGTTTGAAACTGCAGGTTAAAGATGTCCCTGAGGGCATCCTATTGGCCACGGCGTTTTCCGATATATTGTGCAGATAACACTACTGTAATTATTTTTTTTCTTCAATCAGCTGAACCAAAATACTTAAAGGAGGAAATATTCCCCCAGATTCCAATTTTGCAAATGCTGTGGTAAGGGAGTTGGGGGTTAATTAAACCACTGTTCTTGTAAACTCATGATCAGGTAGTTCCAGCATGATTCTATCCCAAGTAGAACTTTCTGAATAAGAGCAATTTCACAGGGGCTGTTGGCTCTCCACTGATTCTCTCCAGACATGGCATCTAATGACGAAATGATCCAAAGACTCTCAGAGACACAGAAATTGAAAAGGATAAAAATGTTAAACAGGACAAGTCCTCACAGAGGATTTTTAAAATCTGAGCCATCTCAAGCTCTCCCAGGTCAAGTCTCCCTCACTGTGCACTGCTGAAGATGCTATTTTTGAATCTAATGCAGGAATTTCCATTTATTTTAAGTTGGTTATCCTTGTGAGATTTGAGGGAGGTAGAAATTGGGGAAGACAGCCTTCATGGCTTCTGAAGTAATTAGAAAGAAAAAGTCAACCATTTTAGAAATAGTATAGCGTCTAGCAGCACCTTCAGCCTTATGCAGCCTGATAATGAGATCTTCACCAAAAATCTTGGGCTATAGAATGCTTTGCTAAAATGCATTGATATATTTAGATATTTTCCTATTTTCCTTATTGAATATGTCAGGATTTTGCTTTTAGGGCCTTCCTTCCCTATCACTTGAAGTATCTAGGTAATAACAGAATCCTATTTTTCTTTTCTCAGGAATTGTTCATAATCATGTTCTAGAATATCTGTCTGGTAATGCCCAACATTCCCTGCCTAGGACACATCTTGCATTCAAGAGAACAGAATCACTTCTCCCAAAGATTTCTATCATTTCATGTACTTACTTCATTAAATTCTTTCTTATGGCTTCAATTTGAAATAATAGTTTGTCTATTGTTACCACCTTTTCCCAACACTTGAAATTGATACAGTTAGAACAAGTCAATGTTCCAAAAACTCTCTGGGAATCTCTACATTGGCCTGTTCTTCTCATAGTATATGACCCTTCTTCTCCCAATCCAGGTCAGAGTGCCTGGGATCTACTCTCTATAGAGGCCCTGGGGAAGGTTCTAAAACTTAGGTCTACACAGTGAAAAGCAGCTTTAAGTCTAAAGAACTTTTCTTTAAAGTCAATTTGAGGCTTTGAAGTCAAGGCTTTGAGATGCAGGGGCAATAGAGAAGAATTAATCTAGCCCTTGGACTCTGCCTGCAGCTTTTATATGGTTTTGTGCAGCTGAGTGTGAAAATCTAAATTTGAAACAGGATATATGGAAATTGAAAAAGTCATTTGGCCCACAGCCCAATATGTTTCAGAGATTTCATTAGTGGTGGACATTAAGTGCTGGAGGTGATTTTGGAATTTGCAAATCTTTACGTGTTGCTCCTAGACCTTGCCTCATTGAAAGGCCCTTGTTGGAACCTATGATCTCATTGTCCCTTGACCTTTTTGGCATATAACATGATAACCCCCTATACATTATAGCTCATTAGAGTTTGTAAAGCATTTCGTATTCATTATATCATTTAATCTTCAACCTTATGGAGTACAATTTTATTTTTCTCACTTATAGGGAGGAAATGAAGGTTGAAAGCGATTAATTAATCTACCCCAAATCACCCATCCAGGATTCAGAGCCTGGCCCTCTGACTTTAAGTTCACAGCCATTTGATGAGTGTTCTAACCCCAGCACTTTCATCTCCTCCCTTTCAGTCTCTTTATTCCTACCTTCATCTTAACCCCTTGGCAATCCAAAGCCCAGCTATGCCACATAAATGCCATCAGTGTGAATTCCAGTCAAATGAGAAATGAGAGGGACCCTGGGAGGGGGAAACTAGAGCACCTTAATTTGTATTGCTTAAAAAAATTAAGTGTTCTGGTTCAATTTGGAGAGGAGAGAGGCATGTCTGATTCCCCAAACAGGCAGCCATAGAGTTATATATTAAAAGTCAATATACTTCTTTAAAAGTTGCTTTCCCAATTATATTATGCTCATCACATAATAGACTTTAACAAGGTACATGGCTTTTTTAAAACATTTCAATCACTCCAGTACCAAGGCTAGAGGAACAAATCCCCTTCAACTTTAGCTTCATTTATAGTTGAGGAAACTGAGTCTCAGAGAAGAGAAATGCTCTACCCAAATTTCGATGGCAAACATATGGCAGAGTTGGCACCAAGTCCCAATCTCATGATTCTCAGATCAGTTCAAGGTAGCTCTTGGTAGAAGCCAACAGCAGGTAGATTTGGCAGTCAACTAAGCCAGAAGTTTAATGAAAACCCTAGGCCTAGGTAACCCAACAGTTACTGTGATGATGGCATACCCTTGCAAAGCCTACCAGTGTATGAAACCTTCTCCCATTCGGACTGCTCAGGAAATAGATAAGTATGTTCCCAGATGCTAAGTTACTCAACCCTCAAACAAACCTCTAATATGGATGGAGCAGGTGCTAATATCCCCATTTACCTGTGGGGAAACTGGGAAAATGGCCTGCTCAAGGTTATGTCATTGGCACCAGTACGCTTCAAAACCAAGTTGCCTGTCATCACACTAAGTGCTTTCCATTGTTTCACGAGGCCTCTGGAAGCAGTAACTTGAAGGACAAGGACACTCCACTTCAGATGCCTGCAGGAACCTAGCTGCACCCCTCTTGAGGAGTGTGTGGTTCATTCACATAATCTGGTTTGGCTCATAGCACACTTGACCCATTTATTTGCTCACTTCTGTGGCCTCCATAGCGGTGGCCTCTAACCATTCAACCCCTAAACTAACACTGCTTGTGATGTGTGCATCTGGGTGTGATGTTTAGCTGATTAATTCCACAGAGCTCTGGTAGCAAACCAATGCAGTCCATTCTAATGATTTTCTGCCTGTCCTTTTCGCTAGGCCAACCTGTCTTCCGGAAAGTTCACGCTAGAGAACATCCTATTCCCTCTACTGTAATCACCATTGCAGGTACTCAGTGCATCATGGTCCTTGAAAACCACAGTTTAATTTGCTTGAAGTTAACTGCCTTCAAGTGTTCTTTAAGTCTTTAGACATTAAAGTAGCACAGTTTGGCCCGTGTCCCCACTAGAACATTGCTAAATAATGCAGTGATTTCTCTGAAGCTCCGAGCACGGTGGGTCGGTAACAAAACACAAGCGTATGCATGCAGGACAGGAGGCCTGGTAGAGGAAGCAGCACGGGCCTGCAGAGAAGGTTGACCGCCATGACCTCTCCCTCTCAAGTTTCAATGGATTCCAGATTTCCTGCAAATCTCCCTCCTCAAACACGGGTCTTTCATTCCAAGTATAATGACGTTTCTTTAAAAGCAAGCTATACTTCTTTCTAGAACCTGCCTTTCTTGCCTCCAGGCAATGTTAGCCACATATGCATGGGTGATAGTACATCTGTGGGAGTTCTTCAGAGGGAACATTGCCAAGGTGACTAGAGGATCGCACAACCATCCTGGGTCTACTGTAAGCTTAGAGCCCAGGCAGCATCTCCAGGTCTGCGTGAGGACAGGGCTGTTCATTCCTCAGTCATCCCCATCGCCATCACTGGCCATGGTGGGAGAAACATTTCCTCCTTTCCTCATCCTCACATGCCACTTCCCTACTCGATAATCATGATACCAAGACCTGACTGCAGACTTGTTCCAGAATATTCCTAGTGGAAATAAATAGACCAGTCTCCTTAGGCTCTAACCAGCAAGGCCAGTCAGGTGCTGAAAACTGTCAAGAGGTGTCTACTCTCAGACTTGTCACAGCACAGATCTGAGTGAAGGATTAAAATAACCTTGAGCAAAGTGTCCCACCCCTGGCCTTGTACCCCTTTCCGAATTTGGTTAAGATTAAAGATTGCCACGATGTCAAAGAATAGCAACAGTAGCTCCTCAGGTGCAGATCTGCATGTGGTTGTTCTGTTTTCTAATAGGGATCCTCCCTCTGAGCCCTTCAGCTCTCATGGCCCTCCTGCTTCAAAAAGCAGCCGAGCCAGAAAGCATTAGCAGCAGCTTTTTCAGACATCCCAGGTACCTATTAGTTTCTGTAATTTGTCATTTGCAAAATCAATTACTCAAAAGAAGGGAGGTCCTCTACTGGTGGTTTTATCACAGGCTGGCTTTATGTCCTGTCAATACGGATTTTAACAGGGGGTATGAATTATCCATTTGATCTTTAGGTTGTGTTGGTTAGTTAAGACTGTGATGTTCTGTGATTGATTATCAACTTCTCAGTAAAATATGGTGAATTTAAAAAGCATACATGTATCTGTATGGAGAGACAGAGACAGAGAATGACTTTTCTGTCTGAGAAGCTAAACTAAAATGGCAGCATGTTGTCACTGGGCATAAATAAGGAGGTAAAACTGACTCGGCCAGAGTGAAATGGACTGCATTTGATCCAGCATTCAAAGTGAAAAGGAAACAAAACAAAACAAAACAAAAATAAAGTGAAAAGGAAACAAACATAATAGACGATCCCAAAAAATGGTGTTCAACTATTTCCCCAATCAATACAAGACACTAAAGAGAGGACACTTTTTAAAAATACTCCCAGCTCTCTTCTTTGCCAATATCAAAAATCTGCACCATAGATAGTAATTTATCAGGATCGTTGTGGAGCAACGATCCAGTTGTCTCCTCTCCATTACATAGAATTCTCCCTTAAATGCTCGTGACATTTACTAAGTGAAACTAGCTCTGACCCCTCCATGAAATTATGCCTTTGTGCTTTGACTTCTGTCTGTGGAATGCCCCTTCTTACTCTACCACCTCCTACCCCAACCTTAGCACCACCTACCCCGGGCAAGCTTCTCTGCAGGTTTCAACGCCAATTTCAAATATGTCCTCTTTCCTGAAGCCTTCCCTGACTCCCTTAGGCAGAGCAAGCTGCTTCCCCACCCTGACCCCTCAGCCCTCACCTTGCTGCACTAGAAGTTGTCCCATCTCTATGCCTCACCTCCCATGTGAACAATGAACAAAGGATCTTTATATGCATAGAGCAAATGTCAGGAACTAGTTACAGGCATAATGGTACCAAACGAAGCATTTCTTCCTGATCCAAAGAACTGAAAGATGATTAAAAAGGGAATAACCTTTTTAATCACTGTGATTTGATTTCATTTACTACCATGTCCATTTATCTAATACCATGTTCCAAATAATTTCATTTTGTGAAATACGGTATTAAACAATGCTACCACATCACCAATTCTTTTGTAATTTCCCCAGTTTTCTACCTAAATTGCCTTGAACCCCATTTAAAGCAAATTATCATTTATAAGTAAATTACAGAAAAGGAAGCCATAATAAATATTCTCTCCCAATGGCTTTGCAATTCAAAAATAAACCCAGTTGTTCTTCTGGAAAAATAATTTTCATTTGATGTAAGTCTCTAAGACACCCATGTTCAGCCAAGGTTTTGACCAGAGACACTAATGTGACCTAATGCTAAGAAACTACCAATAACCTTATCCTGGGTTCAAGGATCAGAAAGCAGTGGGAATCACAATATGATTGATTTGAGCACTGGGTAGATTGGACATCACATATCCCAGCCTCCCACTTCCTTGACTACACATAATTTCAAGGACAAATCCTACGGACACCAGTTGTAACCCTTTGCCCTCTCTTGGGTCATAACGTCCCAAGCCTACTATAAAACACATTACTACTTTTACAGTTAAAATTAATCTCCTTGCACCTCTCCTTTGCATATGCTAACTTTCAGCAGTTTCTGGCCAGTTCAAAATCACGTATTTTTTAGTCTTCATCTAATCTCCTTGGGGCCCCGTAAAAACTGGGAATAGAAAAGCAGATTCTAAAATACTCCTTTAGGAAGACACTATTGAGTACATACTAAAGAATTAATTAATATGCTACATTCCGCTTCTGCCTTGGGTAGGTTTTGACACTCGGTATATAAAATGCTAGCAGTATCCCTAGCCCCTCTGCTCCGTGCCCTAGCAGTGAACAACCTGCCCAGGAACCAGTTCTGTACAAAATTTGCTAGAGCATTAAATGGAACCACCACAGCAGGGTCCTCAGCAGAGGGAAACCATGTCTTTGGAGGGAATGAGAAGTGTGGACTCCTACAGAGCTGATGCCTAAAGGCAAAAGGCAAGAAGAGTGGGCTAGAAGTCCCTTCCTTTCTCATGTTTTCCTCAGTCAACAGATTCCTACTGCAGGCAGTTTGCCTGGAAAATTCTAGAAGCAAAGGCATCAGGGCTGAAGTCTTTCCATACCACCATACTACTTCCTTGGAGATGAAGTACATTTGACTTGACTCTGAGGGGAAGTAGCCTGTCTTGTTCCAGCATCCTGGGCCTGAAGGACAAGGAGGTAGCGTGATTATAGGAACACTGTTTGCCCTTCACATGTGCGTGGCCTTTTCGGTCTGGGATTTATCCTAATGATCTTCACACAGAGAGGAGCCAACTGTGAGCTTCCTCTCATTAATGGACTCTCAAGTCCATTAACATTTTCTTAACACCCACTAGCCTCTCCTGGAGTGTCAGCTACATGGTGGTTCTGGAAATAATCACGCTCACATGGTGAGTAGTATTAACTCCCAAAGGCCTCACCTTTGCCCTCCCTGTTTACTTTAAGATGAACGTGGTCAAGGTCTTCCTAACAAATGCGAACTTTTCACCAGAGAGAGGAAGCACTAGAGCCCAGGCATCTTGGTGAGATGGAATGGATGTTTTGCTTCTTACCTTGCAACAGGGGCTCTGGCTAAGATCAGACTTTCCCTTCCGCCAACTCGTGGGCCCGGGGGCGTTTTCTGTTGCCTCTAGAAAGTGGAGAGGCGGGAGCCAGATTCCTCCATCCCTTGTGGGACTTGAGCAGTTTTCATTGCGGTTCCTTTGGTCACCTGCTAAGGGAATGTTGTTCCAACAGCCAGATGACCCAGCATCACAGGGGACAATTGGGGGATTCCCTCAACAGGGACAATGTGCAGGCAGAGACTTTCTCGGTGACATGCATCTATGTGTTGCTTTCCTGATCTGCACATTGGCTTATGCTCAGGTTGTGGGTCTTCACAGCCACTTGCTGTCAACAAGCACAACAGTGATGTGCTGCCTGACCTGCCCAGAGCCTCTGTGCAATTCTCCCCTCGACTGATGATCTCGCCCGAGGGACTTTTAGTGGGTCATCAGGGCTTCCTTCCTTCTTGGTTTCCTTGTAGCAGAATCCAGGGATTTCCAAAGAGGATTGAGCACACCGCTAACTTTCTTGCCCTTCCCTTTCACAGAGGAATGCGATGACAGGCAACCACTGACCAGCAAAGAGGAAGAGGAGAGGCGCATTGCAGAAATGGGGCGCCCCATTCTGGGAGAACACACCAAGCTGGAAGTGATCATTGAAGAATCCTATGAATTCAAGGTATGCTTACCAACACTGCCCACAGGGGAGGCCAGGCCCAGCTTGGAACCAAGACTATTCATAGTGTTAGCAGTTTCGGGAACCGGCTCATTAACCGAGAAGCTTCTTAGAGCGGAACTAGAATTGGAAAGTTGGTAGGGAACCAAGAGGTCCTGCAAACCAAATGGTATCAGAACCAGGGTCCAGAGGGTGGCATCTGTCCCTGCATAGGGTCAGGGGTGCCCCAAAGCGAGGACGTTGTCTGAGGGGATAGCAAGGAAGAAGCAAAGGTAGATTCCAAGAGATTTTTCTGTGTGGAAGGAACCAGGCTGTATTTGAAGAAGGGAATAAATCTATCAGAAGCAAAGCATTCACACTGCTGACAGTTAGGAGGCTTTTGTTGTGGAGGGGAGATGGCAAGCTCTCCCTATAGCACATCCATCCCATTGACAAGTTCTCATTTATATTTAGTCCTCTTCAGATCCTGGGACCTATTAGCACAGTCAACATACCGAAGGTATATGGTGCCTATAACCAGAGAGTTTACAACTGAGCTGATAAAATTGGATTCCTGGTTCTCTGGGTGATGAAAGTCATTTTTCAGAAGTGAATCAGATGGGCCTTAGGGTGAGCTTAGCATTTTGAGGCGAAACTTCCTGTCCATCTTAGGTGCTTCCTCTGCTCCCTCTCCCACCTTCCATCCCACCATGTCCACACAGCCCTGATGTCTGAGAACACCCTCAGGAGAGCCACACGTGACGTCTGCAGTGGGACATGAAAAGGAACGTTGTTCTCTGCTTGTCCAGAACCACAAACCCAGATGGCAGATGTATTTTCCCCACTTATTTTTCAAAAGCAGACTCTGCTCCTCTTTGCAAAACCAGAATGAGGATCCCAAAAGAGAGAAGCGGGCCGGGAACTTGAAAGCCTCAGTATTTTATCTTAGATAGTTCATATCAGTGGTCTCTTTTCCTTTAGCTGGATCCATGAATTTTTTTTTTAAATTGGTCCACAAATTGAGGTGCCTGATAGGAGACAGGTAGAAAGAAAAAGCGTCTTTTGCAATCAAAGTGGAATTTTTAAGATAAAAATGCAATTAAACTTCCCCCTTCAGGCTGCTACAAATCCCTGTTTCTTTCACTGATTCCCATGGAAAGAAGGAGCAGGGGTAAAGATGGGGACCAGTGCTTTCTAGGCAGACCCCAACTACCAGAGCTCAGCTGTTGTTCGATCTAGAGCCTGCCTCACCCCACATGTAAGACCGGCACACATACACACAGGTCCCCTGTGATCCCGGGGTGCAGATGACTCAGACTATCCATTTCTGTGGACCAGTCTGTCCAGACGTATTCAACCTCTCTCCTCCTCATTCACCCTCTCTTCATCTGGAATCAGAGGGCCTGGTGCAAGTTTGTCCCCCACCCCCAGGGCTCTCATGGGGAATAATTGTGTGTTCTCTCCCTTATCGAACAACCCTCAACCTTCCCTTCCCACGTACCCATTGACTAAGAGGAGCAATCACAGAAATTTCTGGAGGAAGCATTAGGTTGGGCATGGCAGGGCACAGTCTCCTAGGCAGCAAAGCTTTCTTGGGTCCAGAGTTCTCTCTGGTAACCACTCCAATGACCTGAACATTTGAAAGTCCCCCAGTCTCTTTACCTAAGTTCACTTGTTCAGGGTTCTTTTCTTCCTAGAATAGCTCCCATAGACTATTTCCTCCCACCTCCTCAAAGTTCATCAGTAGTTACTGTTAACACAAAAGGGAAATTGGGAGCATGTCCCTGAGGTGCCCTCAAATATCAATTTTGGGTATTATGTCATTCTTTTAAGAAATTCCTTTTTCTAGACCATAGCTATTTTAAAGACCTTTTTCAAAGCTCTCAGAACTGCTTGAAGACCCAAATCTGGGTGATACCTCACAGTGTCCCACTCTGCCTTTGCCCACTGGGTTCTTTACTATGTTGTGACTAAGGGCTTGACTTTCCTAATACCCACTGTTGAGGGTGAGGTTACAACAATCGCTTCCAGGTCTAGGGCAGTGAGAGTTGATCATTGGCATATAGGAAACCTCCAGGTGAATATAGTTGGACAGGTCTAAGTTCAAATTCATCTTAGTCAGTTCCCCTCCTCCCATAGGTCAAGGGAGGACACATATGCAAATTAAGTCCCAGGTAGAACCCAGGCTATCCCATAGTCCCCCAGGACCAACATGAACTAAAGTTTATAATCTACCCTGGGTTTTTCCTCCACATAAATTTTAACTTTCATTTATTTTAAAACTTCGTTCTTTAGAGAGATTTCTTGAGGCAAGTCTGTGTGTTGAGCTCTTACAGCAGTTTCTCTCTTTCATTGTTTATCTGCCAGGTGATGGGATTCTCTGCCTTGGCATCAGAACAGAGGGCTCCCTTGGGGAGGCCTGTTCCATGTTTCCAAGACATTTAGGAAAGATCAAGGTCATTTCTTGTTACATTCTCCACAGAACTTGGAACTGGCATCAGCCAAGATACTCAGAGTGCTTGATGAAATGGGGCTGAGGCCAGAGAGAAAAGACATGCTTGTCATGTGCTTCAAGTTATACCGTGGCCAAGAGCAGTGACGGTTAGAGCTGTTATCAGGGGCACTGGCATTTCAAGACACAGGCTTGGAGTGGAGAGGTCACCACCCTGAGGAAACAACCAAGCAAAGAATGTTGAAAATACAGAGTGGGCCAGTGGGAGATGGGCCTTTTCATGCTTATCATCTCTCTGTTCACACAACTCTTGTTGAACGAACCCACTTGACATTCTGATTGAGCTTTGGCCTTCCATACAGGCTGCTCAGATCCCATTTTCCTTACTCCCAGTTTGCTGATAACTTGCTTTATTCCCAAACTGTAGTCAATTCAGGTACATTGCATTAAACATGTACAGAGTTTGACCTCAGACAAATAATATGTGTTTTCTGCATCTTTGCAATTAGTGGGAATTCGAGGCTGCTCTGACAGTAAGTGTAGATGTATGGTAGACTAGTCCGTGTGGTAGTTTCTCTGGGAAGAGCGGCCTCATGTCCTGGAAGTGACCCTTCTCCCTCTAGTCACTATGATTTGTGGCAGCGCTTTGGGTGCATCCGCTTGCTTAGTTTTCCTGTGAACGTTTGGCTATTCCTGTTGTTCCCTTAACTGACATTTAGAAAGCTAGAGAGTGCTAATTGTATAAAGCCAAGTGCTTAAAAAAAAAGTCTAAGAAAAAAAAAAAAGTCTAAAGAGAAGAGTAAAGCATGGGGAAATTCAGAGCTACGCCAATTGCCATGGGCCCTAAGCCCTATGAATTCACCTGTTCTCGACTTATCTTTTCTTGCTTGCAAGAGAAGTAGAGTTAGAGTGAATTCTCTAACAGCTGCCTGGCTGACAAAATCAGTAGCCAAAGAAAAATCTATTTGTTGATGAGCATGCAGGAGCATTGGGGCTCTGCTGTCTGGCTGTATTTCGTCGACAAACAAAAGTACAATAATAACGGTTTTTAGTTTCATAATCTATCTACCAACTGCGGCTATTCAGACATATGTAATGCTGAGCAGGTCATATCTTAATTCAGTTGTAGGCAGCATCCTACAGATGAAGCCAGGAGAGAAGCCAGTCCATAAAGCATTCAAGCGGAAGGGGTGGGCTTTTGCAACATCTGCTGTTCTTTAAACACCGAGGCCATTCTTCCTTGGCCATTAGACAGTGAAGGAAGCTCCTATCTGCTATGAAGAAATTTCTATTTCAGAAGGGTTCCAAGGAAGGACTATGCTTGTTTGCATAATCGTGACAGTGTTTGATGTCAACACTTGTTCTGAGCTTAACATCCGCCATCCCTTGTAGAACTCTGGGGTTTCAGAATTAACAAGGCCTTAGATGTCCCGAGGCCTTAACCAACCCAGCAGTTATTATCTTATTCTTTCCAACCTTTCTAGAGTACCGTGGACAAACTAATTAAGAAGACAAACTTAGCCCTTGTGGTTGGGACAAACAGCTGGAGGGAGCAGTTTATTGAAGCAATCACTGTCAGTGCTGGTGAGTGCCTTTCTCTGCATGCTATAAATTACAATGGCCCAAACTGCACTTGCTTTTCCCACTGTGACCACTTGGTCTGTGTCAAAGCACCGGAGAACTTCCAGGGTAATATGAAAAGGGAAATGAATGTATTTGTAGCACACCTGCACATTTCGGAGACTGATTTAGACTTTCTAGATGAAGCAAATGTCTTCAAACGTGGCATTCTTCTCCATCTACATTGTGTCTTTCTCTCTGGAAATAGACGAGATAAATTTAAAAGGCTTTTGTTGTCTCTACCTCACAGATAGCCAGTCACGAGGCTTTGTCTGGAAAATTCCCTGAAGGCAGAAGTGGCCAAGTGAAGGTCACAAAGGAGGCAGCAAACTCCTAGGTGGGCTAAGGGGACTTTAAGACCGTTCACCACTCCCATCTGTGTCATTTTACACTCCCTTCAGCAACGTCTAACAAATAAGCCTTTGTGCTGGCTCTAGAAGTGGAAATAGAATCACATTCTGTTTCTTCCTCTACAAGCAAAGTGCAGAGTCTTATTTAGGAAAATCCTACAAAAATGAAGTTGTTTTCAAACTCAAGGAGTCAGAGACCTGAGGGAATTAAATACAGAAAGAAGCCTCTTTTTCCTGAATTGTCAAACCTTGTCCCTTGTCTGTGTGATTTATAAAGACAGGAAAATCTCTCTCCAAGATGCATGAAAGCAACACCGTTATGGGCTCCCCTGCCCCCCAGTTCTTCTGCTCTATCTCTACTGGTTCTTTCTCTTTAACATGCCCCTCAGGTTCATCTTCTGTTGCAACTAATGAACAAAACTAGAATTTTTAAAATAGTGATTCCCACCGTAAAGTACAGAGCCAGCATCACTGGTGGTTGGGCCATGACTCCTAACACAACCCCCTCTTTCCAATCTGCCACAGAACCATTTGACAGATCTCTGAAGCACTGTGGGAACAGAGGGTGGTAAAACTTTCATGCCTCTTTATTATTAGTGCTGTTTATAATCACACTTCGGTTTCTTGAGATTGAGTATACAAAGGAAATTTATGAACATTAAATGGTGGGAAACTGCTTGGAGAATAGATTTGGAATTTACCCACAAATTCTACTTAGGGGAGGGGAAAATTCCCTGTCTTAGTCCCTCTGGGCTGCCATTACCAAATACCAGAGAATGGGCGGTGTATAAACAAGCTCACAGCTCATGAGGCTGGAAAATCCAAGATCAAGACACTGACAAATTGGGTGTCTGGTGAGAAGCCACTTCCTGGTTCATAGACAGCTGTCTTCTTACTGTGTCCTCACATGGAGGAGTGAGCAAGAGAGATCTCTGAGGTCTTTTTTATAAAGATACCAATCTCATCCATAGGGCTTTGTCCTCATGGCCTAATCACCTCTCAAAGGCCCCACCTCCTAATACCATCATATTGGAGACTAGGTTTCAACATATGGATTTGGGGGTAGGGGGGCCACAGTCAGTCTCCAGCACTCCCTCATGATGGCTTGTGTTTTTCTAGAAATCTAACATTAGTATCTGAGACATGAGCTATACCCCATCTTCACAGAGATAAAAACTAAAAGGACAAAACTGGCTCAAATAAAAAAGTGCTGATGAGGCCAGTTGAAAACATTAAAAATAATAAAATTGTTTTTGGGCTTTGATATACCAGAATCAGAACCTTAAAAACATTAAAAGCAACATAAACTTTAATGAACCATTCCCAATGGTTCCCAGGTTTCCTTGGGCTGCAGATATATGAGCATTTATATAATGGTCACAAGCTGGAGATCATTAATTCATGTTTCTATATGTCAGTCGTTCTTGGTGGAAGAGATGCAACAGTGCGTGAAACAGACAGACAGCCCTACCCAAGTGGAGCTTACATCCTGCTGAAGGAGATAGGGAATAAGGCAAATAAGGAAATAAAGTGGATGTATGATGGTGAGCTTGTCGTGGAGAACAACAAAGCTGTGGAGAGAGACAAGAAGTATGTGTAGCGGCCGCACCGGGCTGTGGCCCAGAAGACACCATCGACAGACCCATTAATGATGCAGTTTGTTTTCTAGCAGTGGAGTGGGTTTGTGGTGCTTTATCTACACCTTCTAGTAACTCCCAGAGACCAGAGCAGACATTTTATGGTGGCAAAGGGCAGCTTTAAACAGCAAGAGAGATTATGCCAGGCACAAGACCAAAGTTGTGATCCTGGTCAAAATAGATATAGAGTGAAACAATGATAAAGATGCTAATACTCCCTTTAAAGGGGCGGATTTCATTTGCAAACACTTTCGTATATAATGTTGAATTAAATCCTCTCCACGTCGTGGGTGATGGGTGTTTTGATTATCCTTATCTTCCAGAATCCGAGCATCGGTGAGGCGGTATTGGCTTTGGAACAGTGCTCAGAGCCCTGATCTACCAAATACCAGTCCAATGGGCTGTCTACCTCCCTTAAGAGAGAGAGGTTTCAAAATGAGGAAAATTGCTCCCCACCTCTGTCTCCTTGAGGGACGCTGGTCTTGTCACCTCTCTGGTGCCACGGTTTCAGCACTCTCTCTGTGGGACAAGTTCCTGCCCAAATCTTTTGAAGAACTGTTGTTAATGAATGAAATGTAAAACCTCTCAAGTGTTCTTATTTGTCACACAGTATGTTGTGTTTTATGTTTCCGAATGACTGCTTGGGAATAACACAAAATTGCTCAGAAATTTGCAGGCTGCTGGGTAACTTGACCTTATTTACAATTTTGAGACAAAATATCAGAAAAGCAAACCCATATTTTCTGGGCACTAAATTACATGAAGGGCAGTTAGAGAGCTCAATATTTGTCACTATGATTAAATTTAAGTGTCTAAAGAATGTTAATATTCTTTAGTTGTTAAATGGACAGTAAAACTTGTAAAGCAGCATTTATTGAAAACAGACTTTCATTAGATTTTAAGATTTCATGGCTAAAGAGTTGAGAATCAGAACCGTTTGCCTTATTAAAAATATTAAATTGCTTTTAAACAGCTCTCCTGCGAGGCTTTTTCCTACACAATTTTCTGTGCGAAATTGAGTCTATGTATCTTGCTAAGCAAAAATAATAATTTTGGAAATAGGATTTTGCTTCTGCTTCTCACTGATTATATTTAAATTAGTTTCAGGGTAACCCCCCGGCAGTCTTTTTGTTCCCCTGCTTTTCCTAAACTTCATGGCTCAGTATCTGGGCCTCCGATGACCGTGCTGTTTCTGGGAACCCAGCTGATAGAGTCTAACGTTTGAAGAGATCAAGGACTCATGAGACTCTGGGGATTCGGTAGGGATCCAGCAGTCCTGTCCTGGTGGTTCTCCCTCAGGGGCCTCCTGGGTAGAACACCAGGAGCAGTAGCCTGCAGCCAGTTAGGCCGCTGTCAGATGCTTGCGAGGTGAGTCCAATACCATCAGGTGCTTCTAAGATGTGTCAGCAGATGCACTGACAAGTGAGGCTAGCATTCACTGTGTGTCCAGTTTGAATTGTCCCCAGGTTCCTCCTTTAAAAAAAAAAAAAATTATTTATTTTAGAAGAGAGAGAGCGCGCGCACGCGCACATGCAGGAGCAGGGTGAGGGGCAGAGGGAGAGAGAATCTCAAGCAGACTCTGCGCTGAGTGCAGAAGCCGATGCAGGGCTCGATCTTATGACCCTGAGATCATGACCTGAGCCAAAACCAAGAGTCAGACGCTCAACCGACTGAGCCACCCAGGCATCCCCCGACACAAGTCCTCCTTCTTCCTAGTGCCTCCGCCCAGGCAGAATGGAGGGATGACCTTAAGAAATTGTGGATGAGCCGGGATATAGAGGAGAAACAGAAATGTCAAGGAAGAGGGCAAACATTAGCTGGGTGAAGAGAAACCAGATACCAATGCTGCCAATTGTGCAACCACCAACAGTCTTGGGCCGTGGTGAGGTGAAGGACGATGGTTGCAAGCTTGGCTTTGGAGTCAGATGTGTGTTTGTGTCCCAGATCTCCAGGAATTCTCTGGGTGACTCAGGACAGATTACCTGCCCTCTCAACCTCTGTTCCCTCAAATGTAAAGCAGAGATAACTGCTCCTCACTCATGGAGTTGCTGTAAGGATTAATCAAGGCAATTCATATTTTCATGAGGGCTGTCTATAAGTTTAGATATCACAATTGGCTCTTTGGGAGGCCAATCTTGTTGAAGAATCTACAATAAAAGATAACCAAATTTTGTGTGAATAGAGTCAATTCAGTTTAATTACTAAAATGACTAAGTGACTAAACCCACTGCTTTTCCCTTTTATAGTGAGAGTCACACACACACACACCATTTTATAGGTAAGAAACTGAGGCTCAGAAAAACAATGTAACTTGCTCAAGAAGCAAAGCTGGTAAATGACAATACAAATCAGCCCAGGATTCTCTCCAGTGTCAAGAGTGCACTCAGCTGCTGTAGCTGGGGGCTGAGTATGTGCCCGGGCGTACACATGTGGACACACATGTAGAACACACAAATGCACACATACTCTGATACACACAGGCATGCATGTGTGCACGCAAACACACATGAACACACAGAGACACACATACCCAGACATATGTGTGCACACACACACACAACACATGCACAGAGACATGCACATTATCTTATATAGCATGTATCTTTATTCATTTGGACAATTGAGCCACAGCTTAAAATATGAAGGGCTATTTTCCTTTAATATTCATTCAGTCTCCTTAAGCCTCATTCAGAGGCCCCCATGGAGAATACCAGCCAGTTCCCTAAAGTACCAAGGGAAGCCTTTGTTTGCCTAATGCATCCATAGTCTTCTCCTGCCCAGTAGCTTGTGACATTCTTTAAAGAAAGTCAACACACTGCCCTCTCTTTTCCCTGATAATTTTAGGTATCCAGCACCAAAGTTTTTTCCGAAATTCTTTTACTACTTCTGATACAGAGTTTGCCTTAACAGAGCATCTATTGGCCTTCTTATAATGAAGGAATACCTCAAAGTGGCAAAAAAAAAAGCCTTTTTGTGG